CTGAACGATCGAGTGAAGATTTCAACTTGAGGATTTCGCAAGGCAAAACAAGCAAATTCCGATTTGTGCGGATCTGTGAGGGTCGATGACGTCATGAGAGCCCAGCTGATCGGATGGTTCCAGTGAAACAAGGCCGCAAACGACACATCTGATTTGGTCAAACCTTAACTGGAATGGCTGCGATTGTTGATCGATGACTCAAACACTCCCAAGACAGTTTGTCCTATTTTTAAATAAATCAGCAGCAAATAATAATAAAACAAAAACAGCATGCACTTTTAGTAGTTTAATAAAAAATAAAAACAAATCAGGAGAAATGTAGCGGTCCACCAATTAAACATTTCTTGGCTGATAACACGTTTAATTTATTCTGCTGTTTTGACATGCTGATTATGATGGGTTTGTAATACATAGAGAATTAAAATATAAAGACATTAATATGCTCTGGGGGTCCATGAAGGTAGGGATTATCAATTTTTGTGCACTAATCTGATCTGGTTTTTAAATCAAACTCAAAAATAAAATAGGAGCACATTCTTTTTGTTGATGTGCTTATAGGCAAGACTTATTAGATATTATGCATTTAAATTGAAAACAAAAAATCTAAATCAAACTTGAGATCAAGAAAAGAAAACCCAGATATTGTTTATTTTTTGTCTTCTTTATTACAGCAGTTTGTTAGGAATACATATGAATTACTTCATTTCCTGGGCAGACCAACAAGTTTTTATTTTTTAATAAAATTCCAAAAATTGTTCATCGATTTTGTCTTGATCTCTTCTTCTGAAAAAGAAATTTCAATAAAAGACAAAAAAGGGCAAAAACTGAAGTACAAATTGAATTAAATTAATTGTGATCAGCTGCCTTATGTGACGTCACCAGAGATTTGGGTGCGTTGAAGTTTTGACTTTTAAAAGGTAGCCTTTACCTCCATCACAACGTTTCACAACCAAAACTGACCCTGACGTGTAGTTTGTTTGTTTTTCTAAAAGGAGGTTGGATGATTTTACAAAAAGTCTGAGCTGTTACTTAAAAATGTAATGTGTGCTACTCCTTTTTATTGATTAATTTTTTTTTTCCATTAGTGCAATTTGGGGGGAAAGAATAGTCTCTTATGCAAAGCAGTCACTGCATGAACGCAACAGATCAAACCTGTGTTGCTGAAATCCTCAGCCATGCTGTGAGGAAGAGCCCCATTAATTCATAATAAATGGAGATTAACACAATCCATTCAATCTGGTGTAGTCCATAAATAAAAGTAGCATTTTGTTTTCTATATCTATATAAATAAATAAAACAAAACAGCACTGTGCTGCGACGCCTTGATTGAGAGCCATTACAGCCATGATAGCAGGGCCAGGCTTTCACTGCGGCGGCGAAAACGCGGCCGGAGCCCCGAGTAAACAACAAATAACCCTCTTTATTTCAGCCTCTGCTCTCTGAAACGTTCCCGTGCCGCGGTACCGCAAAAAACCGGGGTGTCGATGAGTGACTGCGGTGAGGAGGAGGCGAGGAAAGCGAGAAGTCCTCTGCGTTTCTCCTCCAAAGTTTTGAATTAAAGGGGGCGTGTGACTCTTTTCGCCAACAAACTGCAGCCTGAGCCGAAAACTATTTTCTCCGTGAACATTTCCAGCGAAGCCCCGAAATGTTCTCCCAAGGCCTGGAGAGCGATGCGGGGAAATAAAGGGTCGCTGCGTGTTCGACGCGAGTTTCTTTTTGTTTTCCCCCGTCTGGAAGTCCCTCCGAAGAAACTGCGTTTATTTCCCTTTAAATGTGGGAAATTATCATGACAGGCGCGGGTCTTCGCGAGTCGTTTCGAAGGCAAAGAGCGCCATACGTGCGGAGTCCGTGTTCAAAGCGAGCAGCTCGGCGTCGTAGCGCCAGCAGCTCGGCCTGAACCGACACCAGGCCACAGAGCGCGGAAGATACCGTCCAGCCGCGGGGACGCGGCTCGCTTCTTACCTGCTGATTTTATCCTACGGCGCCGAGCAGGTAGAAAACGTGGGGAAACGTTCCGTACGACGGCGGCGTTTCTTTCCGTCCTTCAGAAGTGATTGTGTGCTTTTTTTCCCCCCCTACTAGCCATGAAGCTAGCCGCGGCGCAGCACAGCACAACTTCCGGCTCTGCCTTTCGGAATAAAAGTCGAGTATTTTGCAAGGCTTTCAAAAAAAGAACATTACTATTCGTTCTGCTTTTTAAGTCATAAAAGGAAAATGGCAAGCAAAAACGACACAAGCAGGCCAACCAGATGGCTCTGGTTTTCTGTACTCTTGAGGTCTGGATAAGTATGGACAAATGTTTTGATTTATCAAACTATTTTCTCATGTTTCATTTTCTAAATCTGTATTTTTATATTGATGTTCTGTTTATATTAAATCGCACTTTATCTTTGATTTGTCTCATCACACCTTATGTTTTACGTCTCCCAAAAGTGAATCGGTTTGTTTCACAATTTTGCCAACTCTAGAGATCTTTACATTCAGCTTGACCTGGAGCGTGATCCTTACACGGTTCCTATGAGTGATATGTTAAGTACCTTAGTATACTGCTGTTTTTCCAACTTCTGGGTGGTCTAAATAAATTGAGATTCAAATTAAGCAGAGAAATGGTGACATACTATTGTGACCTGGTGAACCTAGAGATAAAACTATTATTCAAGCAGTTCGCAGAATTATTATTTTTTGTTTCTTGTTTAGCAATTGACACATGAACCTCGCAGGATAGCAACTTCATTTCTCTCTGCGTCACCGTTCAATCAAAATCACACCTATCTTTTTCACTGGGTCATGTCATGGGACCGTGTCCAAGAGGAATAGTTTTAATGCTCTGACCACATTGGTTATTATCCACAGAAATGTCCACGCTAAACATTCTTCAGAGTTGATGAGTAAAGTCTTTGAGACCTCAGGGTTTAATTCAGCATAAAAAACATATATCGTGGTTCTTTGCTTCATCTGCATGTTGTCAGTAACTGGGTAAATCGGCTTGTTTTCTTCACACTTCATGTTTTTTTTTTTTTCAATTGAGCCTCTGAAGATAGAAATGCTCTAGTACCAAGATGTGTTTTTGTAATAGATGCAGGCTTATGTTTAGCACTACATGCATAAACCTTTCCTTTCTTCTGAAGCTTACAGTTAGGGCGTTAGTTATGAAATACATAAATCAATTATAATGAACGTAAAGTTCTTTCATTTTAAGACCCAAACTAGCTTCTTGCATTTTCTAATGTTGACTTATTTTCAAGGATTATTTCAGTCACTGAAACCTTTTTTTCTTCTTCTTCTTGTGCTTAGAGTTGGCTGGAAAGAAATTGAAGAAATCCTATTTTTATGTCTCTCACTCCTCTTTCTTACTCTGCGAGTCATTGGTCCAACCTCCCCGGCATGCTTGCTCGTTGAACCCCAGAAGCACCGCGGCAGCCAACATGTCGTGGCTCCTTCATCCGAGGAATTTTCAAATCCTTCCCATTGTTTAAGCTGACAGGACAGCTGCTCAGGCCTCGTTTCCTGTCAGTCAAGCAGTCGCAGCAGCTTGTTAGTTCACAAGCACACTCTTTCTGCTGTATATGCAGTTTTATTTTTTTTTTTTTCATGAAAAGTAAAGGATTTCTAGGTTTAGGTTGATTTATTTTTCACAATGCTTCATTATTCATTCATTTATTGCTTTTTTAGTTTTTTGTTTTTTGTTGCTACTTTTGGATTAAAAATAATGACAATATGTTGGTGCATGCCTAACTAAGTCTGGGTATCTTGACATAGTTACAGTACATGCTACAGCTGTGATAGCTATGATTCTCAAATGATTCTTGTTTATTTCTTCCAAGTCATCTAGGAAAATGCATTTCATGTCTATATATCAGCATTTTCCAACATACAGTAGATGCAGTGCATCCATCAAACATATATATGTCATTGACTCTGCCAGTGAAATCATCAACATTAAAATATGAGTCATTAATAAGTATTTTATGTAAACTGTATCTATATTAGAGGTTGTGAAAATCCTTGTGTAACACATTTGCTTTGAATTAGTGGAATTGTTTGGTTCATTCTAGTTTCAAGAGAATTTAGCAGAATTTAATTTTGGCTATAGGTATTATTTGCAATTACGTCCAGATTAAAGTGTAGACATTTTTTGCAATTCAGGATTGGATTAGGACACAGGAGCTTTATCTGGTCAGTCAATCTCTCTGCTAAATAATAAATTGCAACAATAATTCATGCAACTAGCAAGACTGTTTGCAAAATTGCACAGCTTGTGAGATGTTGATGTGATGAGATGTCGCCAAAGAGCCCAAGGATAAGAACCAGTATTTTCAGCTACAGTATTAAAAAGATAACCTCTGATGGGGTTTTTAGTATTTCTTGTGTGTAAAAAGCTTTGAGTCAAGTTAAATTAAATATTTTCCTGTTTTTATTTCCTGTTTCACAATTATCAGGGAGTTTCTTGTACAGCCTATAAATGAAAGTATCATGTAATTAAATTGTTTATCTGCCATGTGTAATAAATGAGTAAATAGTTGTAGTTAAATTGTTAGTTTCAATTAATTAAAATTATTTATGTATTTACTTGTTACTTGACTCATTTTAATTTTTAGATTTTATTTTCCAAGTTTATGTACTGACTTGCCTAGTGTGTAAGAAATAGATTATTTTAATTGTATATATTTTTTGCTCGCTTGATTTTTAATAATTATCTTTGCTAAGTACCTTAAATATATTAATATGTTTAGTTTTTGACTCCAACATTTCTAGTTTTTGTAATAGTTTCTTCATCTTTATTTTAAACCTTTAGATTACATAGTATGAAATCGCCCTGTGTGGGGGACTGGGGCGGGGGGTGTCTTTTTTTTTTACACAAATCAGATGCGCTTCATTTTCTTCGCAGGGCAGCCCGTCAGAAGGGCTTCCATCGATGACTTTGCACTTCCCTCCGCCCCGGAAAAAAAAAAGCGTGAGCCATAAAACAGGCGCACCCCGCAGTAAAGAGGGCGTCTCGTTGAATTGTGCCGCGGACACGCTGATTGGCTGACGCTGGTGATCGTCACTTTCTACAGAACAAGCAGAGCGCAACACACCCGCCCAGTGTCCCCGGGATGAGAGAGGACGGCTGTTTCGTTAGAAAAAGAACAGGGAAATGAAGTTGTCAGACAGGCTAGCCCAGCAGCTCTCCCCGTTCGACTCGGCCCCGTTCAAGTTCAGAAGGCAGCTTTAGGTGAGAAAATCAGCGCTATGACCGTCAGTTAGAGAATGTCACTCAGCTACGGGACTATCAGATAACGTTCCCACAGTTTAGAGTAACGACACACAGTGAAGAAAGTGGAGGCAACTTGCTATCTCGCTAACTAACCTCTAGCGGTCGACTGTCTTTCGGTTTCAGGGCGACACCGCATTTGGTGAGTTTTGATAGCTTGAAATTTCTATTTATTGTTTTTCTGTGAGGTTCCTGTACAACTTTTAAACGTGTTTTTGTCGTTAGTTCGGCCGCTCTTCGGTGCTGCTAACTAGGTCAGAAGCTAGCTGTACTTTCCTGATGGGACCGAATGTAACGTTGACATTTTAACGTCATTTCAGCCGTAACATCCTCCTTGACGTTGCTGCTGAAAGTTGGCGTCTTTCACTCGCCTGGCATATCACCATACTGTCATTGTACACAAAACATTAATGTGTGCAATACAAAAGTACAAAACTATCTTTAAAAAGTTGAAAGTTGCACAAGTTTACCGGTGCTGTGATATTTTTCAGAGCTAGCTTTAGCCACGGACGGATTATGAAACAACTGGCTCCAGGGGCAACAAAGTGCCCACAAGCCCCCCTTCTCTCTCTGCCATGTTACTTCTTTTTATTTCCTTTTTTTTAACCTTTTAGTTATTTAGAATTTCTTGATTGACCGTGTGACCTGTTGTAGTTGTTTGATGTGGATAATTTTGCTGCTTTGGTAGTTTAAGTGGTTGTAATTTTGACCATTTCTGGCTATGCCCAAAGGTCCTTTTTGAAAGTTTTCAAAAGGGCTGCTATTAATAACATTAGGGTGGCTCAAGAAACCCAAAAGACATAGCAGAATTTAAATTTTATTTAGTTCATAGAAACCAAAATGTACTTGACTATAAATAAATAGAAATGCACAAATGTATTAACCTTTTCAGCTATTTTAAACATATTCTCTCCTGTCTCGAATTAATAATTTTGAAATGCATTAAATATGTCTATGCAGAAAGGGCTTGTCAGCAAATTTGTAGGGGTGGTCACTCTTTCCCTTTGTTGCCACTGGCTTTGAAATTGATCTTTCTTCCAAGGGACAGTGTGTTCTAACAATTTTTAAGCTCCTTCCAGCCTGGGAATCCTTTTGTTCCTGCTCTCATAACGTTAAAAAAAAAGCCTGTCATCTTTTGTAGTTTACTATAATTGCATTAAATTTCTACTAGTAGAGTAACTTTAGTTAAAAACAGAAGCTATAATCTGTCATATTTCATAAGTTTAAACAGGCTGAAACAGGTCATGGAAATATCCGACACAAAGTCTTCAAAATGAAGCATGCATTCAAATACAATTACGTGTTAAGAGTCTGGCATTTTTTTTGTCTCATTATGGCAGTTCTGAAAATTGTAATGCTTCTCTTTATACCATACTAATCTGTCAAACTGTCATTTGTCTTTTCTTTTTTGAATTGATTTGATCACGTGGGAAATTTGTCTCTCCCCATTTTACATTGTAGCTTGATTATTTCAGGTTTTCATGTGTTTGCATGCAACTAAAGTATGGGCGCCTGCAGAGGTCATGACGTATTGAGCTTGTAGTTTTAGTTGTGCCGGAGCTGAGAGACTGCAGCCATATTCTGCCAGAACAAAGTAGAAACACATCCACACATTGAAAAGTGTGGTGTATGTCCCACAATGTTTGTGAACCCTTAAAAAAAATTAAATTAATGTATCAGTAAACAGTTAAGGCCTTAAATTGTCTTAAATTCATTAAAAGATTTGTTGATCTTACATACATTAATTACAGGTCTCAAATGTTCTCTTGACAGGACTATTTAATTAAAAAAAATTATTATTTTTTTTTTTTTGCTTTTTCAGGGAAAAGTTTGAGTTACACTCAGACATTTTAATTGCAAGGATGCTACCGAGCTAGCTTTTTAGTATCTTATCGTGGGGTAAGTGCAAACTTATCACCAGTCGACGGGACTGAGTGCGTACATTTTCTTGGGGGTATAGCTCTTAAATCCCATTCAAAATGGTCTTAAAAAGGCCTGAAATCTGCGTTGGAGAAACCTGCAGAAACTGTATCGTATTTAAACGATGTGAAGATTTGTAGTTACCAATATTCCATGTGTACTTTCCTACTGTTTCAACTTTGGGGGGAAAAAATATTAAAAATAGACGTCTGGAACCTCACTGAGGTCACTTCTCTGCTTCAAACACAACACAGTCCTGCATTGCATCAGAGTCACATGACCAAACAAATATGGCCGACCTCATCCGCCTCCCGAAACGCATACAAAAATGACAACAGGATGAACATCAGTTGTTCATATATTGTTCATTCATAATTAAAACGTTTTATTTCTGCAGTGATTTGTGAAAATGTATTAATTTATTTATTTAGGATTGGATTACCTGTCTTCAGTCATGCCTTTTCCTTTCGGGAAGTCCCAGAAGAATCCAGCTGAAATAGTCAGGAGTTTGAAGGAGAATGTTGCACATATGGAGAAGTTGGACGCCGCAGACAGCAAAAAGTGTGAAAAGGTTTGAGACCTTCTCACTGCTGCTGTTTTGATCTGGCTTGTTTTAAAACGGATTATTTTTCCACATTGTTAATTTGCGTTACCCAACCTAATTATCCTGCTTGTTTCAAGGTTGCTGAAGAAGTGTCCAAAAACCTTGCTTCCCTGAAGGAGGTGCTGAGTGGGACCGGGGACAAGGAGCCTCAAACTGAAGCTGTGGCCCAGCTGGCGCAAGAATTATACAACACCAACCTTCTCATCGCACTCATCGCAAACCTGCAGAAGATTGATTTTGAGGTAGGGCTGAGCGGGGGGACCGACTTACTTCCTCTTTAAAGTTAGCTTTGCAGAGACCTGAAACGATCAGAGTCTACGCTGCTGTTGGCATCTGAACGCCACATGTTGAGCTGAGTCATTTTATTGCAGGGCAAGAAGGATGTGGTCCATTTGTTCAGCAATATTGTGAGACGTCAGATTGGCAGCCGCACACCCACCGTCGAATACATCTCCACGCACCCAGAAATCCTCTTCATGCTTCTGAAAGGGTGAGTCCTGAATGCTCTCATGTGATGGTTTGTGTTTAAACATCCCTTCATTAAGGTTAAAAAAATTAAAATAATCAAATGAGAAACGAAACTGTTTCGTTTCATGCGTTTGCATTTCTTATTTTTTCTGATCTCCTTACACATGGCGGTAGGTTGCACTTGCGTATGCGTTTCGACAGCTCCCACAAGAACAAGCAGGAACTCGCCGCCCTCACCTATGTGGTTTCACATGCTGATGGAGAGATAGAAGAGCCCTGGTTTACAAAAAAAAAAAAAAAAAAGGCTGCCATGCTGCCTGCTGTAGAGAACCAAATTCAGTTTTAGCTGCTCTGAACTGGGGCCATCTCAGTTCAGATTGCCCCAGTTTCAGCAGATCAAATACCATCCCAGGCAGCTGTGTGATGGATTGTTATCATATTTTTGCACGTTTTTGATTGAACCTGAACTCTTAAAATGTCATGTCAACAAAGAAGACCTTTTAGCGTAATTGTTGGGAGGACAGACTTGAAACATTGACATTTAATGCCGATGCGGTAAATTATTTCGCCACTCATGTACTCTCCTCTCTGCATGGTTGTCTTGTGTTTTTTTGGCCAGCTACCCATTTGGGTCCAAATGAGCAACCTTGATGTGAAAGAAGAGCCACAGATACTATTTTGTTGTCGGACTAAAAGCGTTTCAGGGACCTGAGCGCTTTTCGTTTGTTTCATCTGTTGCATGGTCTCGTCTAATTGCTCGGGCTTTGAGTTTTGTGTGTGACTGCGCTCTCGGCTACGCTGACATGTGTTAACCTGTGCAGATACGAGAGCCCAGAAGTGGCTCTGAACTGCGGCATGATGTTGAGAGAGTGTCTGCGTCACGAGCCGCTGGCCAGGTCGGTGCTCTTCTCAGAGGATTTCTACTGCTTCTTCCATTACGTGGAGCTCTCCACCTTCGACATCGCCTCAGACGCCTTCGCCTCTTTCAAAGTACGCCGTTTCTATTTTTAACTACCGAACTACACCCAATCATTTCTGGCTAATTGGTCTTTTTATTTATTTATTTTTTTGTCCTTGTTAGGATCTTCTCACAAGACACAAGATGATGTGTGCGGATTTTCTGGAGAACAACTATGACAGGGTGAGTGTTTTTTTGGGTTTTTTTCTAGTCTGAACTTATTCAAACGTTGCCTATTCTGTGCTCAACCAGCTTTTAAAATCTCCACCAGGTGTTCACAGAGTACGAAAAACTGCTGCATTCTGATAACTACGTCACCAAGCGGCAGTCTTTAAAGGTTCACATGCATGTCCTGTTTGATTTACCCTTTGATTGGAGCGTATATTTTTGCTTTACTGGGTTTATTTACTGCTTGTCCAGCTCCTCGGGGAACTCCTGCTGGATAGACACAACTTCACTGTCATGACAAATTACATCAGTCGAGCAGAGAACTTGAAGCTGATGATGAACCTCCTACGAGACAACAGCCGCAACATCCAGTTTGAAGCATTCCACGTCTTTAAGGTGCGCAACCTCTCACAGTGTGATGAGGTTGAAAATACCACAGTTTCACTGTATTGAGACAAAAAAAAGACCTAAAAGCACAAGCTCAATGTTTATATTTTAAAGTAAAACTCTTTAAAAAGTCTTACATTTATGCAGATTGTGTTAAAGACCTTGAAATGTTTTATGTTCTTTTAATGAAACAGTGTAAGTTGGTCTTGCTCCAGTTTGGTTCACATAGGAAATGTTAAATGGAAAATGTTATTTATTTATTTATTTTATTTTTATTTCTAAAGGTTTTTGTTGCAAACCCAAACAAGACGCAGCCAGTACTTGACATCCTGCTGAAGAACCAGGCCAAGCTGGTGGACTTCCTGAGCCACTTCCAGACAGACCGGTCCGAAGACGAGCAGTTCTGCGACGAGAAGAACTACCTGATCAAGCAGATCCGCGACCTGAAGAGACCCACCGCGTCCGAGGAGTCCTAGAACCGGAGAGGAACGTGTCGTTCCCCTCCGGCGGTAGCGTTGTAGAGGTGGTGACTGGAGCCACTGGAGGGCTGAGTGAGTCGAAAGTGAAAGAACACAAACCTTTTTAAAAATATAATTTCAAATATAAAAACATAGGAAAAGATGATTGGATTTCTCTTTTTTTCTGGCTTAGCGTGAATACGGGGGGTGAGTCCATACGTCACCCCTGTGGGCCGAGAACTGTTATTTAAACCACAGTGCTTCTTATTTAGTGACAGAGGAATGCCTTTACTCTGCTTGTGCAATGTTGGATCTCAAACTGTTACTCCTTCACGTAGATTGTTGCTAAAAACTTCCCAACATTTTCACGGGCTCTAGAGATGTTCTCATACAGCAAATTTCCTTAACGTGTCTATATTATAAAGATATTGAAATGCTGAGAGGTGAAATATATTATTTTTCTAATGTAACTGCTTCCTCTAAGTGATCCAGTTTGCTTTATTATTTGCATTATTGTACATTTTCTCTGTCTGTCTGTGTGGGAGTGAAACGATTGTTTTGAAATGCGGCCGTGGCAGAGTGGCATGTGTCTCTCTTTGTTGGCAGGGTCGGCAGCCAGGGTCTTTGGTTGCTTTTGCGCGTCTGGCAGCAGTGCTGTATTTGTCTATGCAGGGAGCGCCAGTCAAAAGCAACGAGGAATCGATCAAATCTGTTGCGGGTTTTTATTCTCTTTTATTATTATTATTCGGAGGTTGCGTCTGGCAACGCTTACATGACTGAAATAGAAACACAGAATCAAATAACGCTGCAGGGTTCTCAGCCAGACGATTGATCTCGCAGAAAGCGCTCCGTGTCATTTCCACATGCAGAATACTCAAAGTACTAAATTAATAAAGCTTGAGAACTAATAACAGCTGTTCGCGCAGTAATGGGTGCACTTATGGCTGCAGCCCCAACTGGACAAACAGTTTGGTTTTTAGTTTTTGTTGATCTAAATCTGTTTAGAGATGCATCGATTAGAGTCCGGTGGCCAGTTCCCATTTCATGACACCAATTCTTTCCTGTAATATTATTTCAAAATGAATAACATCAGTGTCCAACTTAATACTTCAGAAGAAAATGCATATTTTCTGTTATCTGGTGTTTTGTTAAGCCATTGATTTATTTATTGCCTTAAACAGCCTTTCTGTGATCACTCATTAACTATTTATTTTAGAACCAGAGGTGACGTCACACTGTGTGAGGGAGTGCGATGTTGTTGTTGTTGTTGCACAGCTCTGCAGTTGAGCAGAATTTTAATGTCACTTCAAACCAAAGACAAAATGATGACAGGTAACGTTTGAAACTCTTTGGATTACCACAGTTAGCATTGCTAACAGCAGTCCCTGTGTGTATTTCTACGGTCAGTAAAACTTTACCTTCACTCTAATATTTCCAAAGACTTGCATTTCATTTTCAGAACGTTCCATGACTAACAGAGTTAGAGTAAACAGAGCCTTCCTGTTATTCCCTTGTTTAAACAACTCCCTGCCGTCACAGCTGACGTCTCTAAAAAATACCTTTCTTTCTGGAACCGCCTTAAAGCTTTTCTTCCTTCTACTGATGGCGTGTTTAAATCCTTTTGATTCAGTAACAATATCCAGCGAACTCATATGTGATGTGTTCACTGATCAAAAACTTAAAAAAACAACAACAAAAAAACGGTGCAGCGTAAAATCGTCCTATTCAGGCCACCAACTGCTGTCTCAGTGCATCTCTGCTTATGGTGAATAATTTAAATAGACTTTTAATATGTTTGAAGTTATAATAATACTGGGGTAGGTCAGACGTCACGACACGGTAAAATTAGGACAGTTTGCTGAAAGACAGTTTGAAGAACGTAGCCCGCCTGAGTCTTCGGGCGGCGTTGGGGATCAGTGCTGGTTTTACTGCTAATGTGCATCAAATATTTCTGCTAGAACGATTCATCTTAAACCTTTTCTCCTTGCCATTGCCATTAAAAAGCTGAAAGTCAAGAAATCACCATTTGAAAATGGTCATCTACCACCTTACTAGAACATTTTAAGAAGACAGCACATTTAAGCATTTTTGTGCCGCTTTAATTTCTCAGTGGAAAAGGAAGTTTTTGATATTTCTCTGGTTGGTGTAGCTCTTGTAAATTCATAGTGAATTGCATTGTGCCACCGTGTGATGGATGGTGCCTTATTTAAAGATGTATAACTGATGGTTAAGGTTGCATAAGACTCTGGGCCTCTGATCATGCTTATAAGCCAAAGTCACAATGACGGGAGATGTCGTTTTGTAATTTTCTGAAAGTAAAGCAGAAATCTCTTTAAAAGAATAATTTGTAACTCCCCAACGTGAAGCACAATTCTGTTAACTATCATGGGGACAAAAAAAAAGCCAAAAATGTTTCATGAGGTTAAATTTACATCCCCATGAGTTCAAACATCTTGCTGTGTTTAGGAGTACTAAAACTGGCTTCTAACAAAAGTAAATTAGACTTCAATTTAACTTATATTTTAAACACATTTATGTTTTATTTGCCGATCATGTAAATATAAAATCCTTAAGTTTTTTTTGTTTTTTGTTTAGATTTAAGTCCAGGCATGACATGCACTTTGAAGAAAGGAAAAAAAAGGTGTGTTGTTCACAGCTATTCCCACCAGGAGGAGCTGTAGGCAACAGCTGGGCACCTTGCTTAAAGTTGTACAAGCGCAGCATTTCTAGTTTCTGGAACCCTACCTCTTATAGGGAGATAACACAGGACTGTGTAAGAGAGAGACTGTCTTCACTTTATATTTTGCTGATGAACTGAAGCATGCAAAATTAATGGAACTGCAACAGATGAGGCAAAATCAGAGTTTGTGTTATTAAAGGTAGTCTATGCCATGACTAACTGAGGTCTTACTGTTAGGCCCCCCTGTTATTTCTTCAGGAATACACATGTAAGTGTTGAGTTCCTGGTCTGTGTCAAGAGTCTCCCACTTTGATATTGAAAAACAAGGACCTGAAAATTGAATAAATTAAACGACAGATTGGCCTGAACTTAATGTGTTTTTTTTAATGTTGAAGAGTTCAGAGATGATTATTGGGTTAAGAAAAGTGACAAATCGTTTTCTAAAAATGGTCAGACGAAAACAAAAGATTGAACCCACTTCAATCCTTGGACCCACTTTAAACTTGCAGCATGCGAGTCTTTGAAAGCAAATTCTAACACACGACTCAAGACTTTTGCACAGTCCTGTACATCTCTGGCAATACCATGTATACATCAAATTTAATTATTAAAGATCAATAGTATATATTCCTTGATTATTTTTTTTTAAAGTTTTTTTTTGTTGTTGTTTTGTTTCCTTTTTCTTATGCTTTTTAGTTTTTCAATATTTTGCTACCTTCTCTTTTTCACCCCTTACTTTTTCCACACTGGATATTTTATTTACCGTGGGAGCAAATTAAGTGTACATAACATTACAAAGGATAATTGAAGTGTGAACGCATTTATGAAAATAAAGTGTTTTGGCGACTTGTGTTGTGTCGTGTGGATTTTTCTATGCTTATGTTCGCAACCATAACGTAAGCAGGACAAAAACCCTGAACCGGCGCTTGAGAAGGATGTGCAGTCATTTCTCTGACCATATACCAAAAAGAAACCACAACTGTATGATTAAAAGGGCGTGGCTGCTGAAGACACTAGCTTTGTACCTCAAAAGCCATAATTAAGATTTTGATCAATACCACATCTCTTTCTCAGATTAAGTGAAGTGCTGGCATCATAATCCAATAAACTTCACAATGATTTCTTTCCTTCGTCTGGGTTTTCTTACAGTTTGACATCTTCGCAGTGGGCTTCACTGTGGTTTTTAGAAAATGTATCTCCTTAAATTTGGGGTTCAAAGTGTCACCGCCAGGCTTGTTTGGAAACTTATCTAGAGAGCGTCACAAAGCTTCGGGACTCCGGGGAGCTAAAGCTGGAGAAAACATGGAAGAGTGAAGAACCTTTTGGTCAAAATCACTCCCAAGGTGGCATCGAGGACGCAAATTGATCCAGAACGTAATATCCAGGTTTAACAAACCCTGAACATTTTCTTAACTTTTCTGTACATTTATTCATAGCTAGAGCTCCAGTTTCAGATATTAAAGTCCTTTTTGGTCCTATATTTAGAAGAAACTGATTTTCTTAATGGATAAAAATGTTTTAGTCGGAACCAGTTGAACTCGAAATGTTCCCGTTTTTATTTTTTTCCTCTTTTTTTCAAGCTTTCACACGTCTGGGCTGGCTCGGACAGCTCCAAAGAGCTGTGCTCCCCCCGTGTTTAACATCAGAACCAGCGTCTGCAACTTTTTCCTTTTCTCCTCCCCACGCTGTGGTAGGACAGGCTTATCACCAGAACTCATGCACATGCTTCAAAGAGTTTCAGGTTTTTCCTGCAGAATAGGACTTCAAAGGCGTCATGGAAGGAAGCTTAACTACAATCATCTGTGCAGAGATCCAGACAGAGTCGTCTGGGTGTTTCTGATGATCATCCCTTCTCTCTCTCTAAAGTCCCCAGTGTCTTTAGGTTGAGCCCAAAAGGTAACGCAGCCTTTGAGGATTCCTGCACATTCTGGAAAGGACTTGATTAAAGTGTTTTCCAGAAACAATTTCCCCTCCCACAGTGTTATTCTGTCTTCAAAAGTTGTCTCCCATCCATCTAGAGTGGCTACTGCAGGTTGCATATTTAGGGCTGATTTTTTTTTATTTTTTATATGTACTTTTGAAAAATGGGCTACAATTGGAATGATTAATCTGGAAATTTGAATCTGGTAAAGCACTCAGTTTTGGACATGAGAAACCTTATATGGACCCTGGACTTTAACCTGCTCTTGATGTGCATCGAGTTTCTTTTCTCAGAGAGTCTTGAATTTGACGAGAGACCGCTCAGAACTCTTTTTGCAAAACTGCACCCGGATTTGTTTGTTTTTTTCCCCCTTCTCCCCAAGATGAGACCGTAAGAAATCTGTCCGCCTTCAGGCTCCATCAAATCAGGGCAGAGTGACACAAAAGGCAACTGCGACCCTTCAAGTTCACCAATCCGATCAGGGAAATAGCTGCGGCATGGGAAAGTGGGTTAAAGTTGAACAGGAGAAGAAGGCCTGCAAAGCTGCAGCGCTTTTCCCATAGAGAAGGGGAGTGTCACCAAGAGGATCTACATCTATCAGCCCTCCTGGCTCTGCTCTGTGACACCACTGAGCTCTTGAGTGGGGCCGCGTGGGTGTGGGACGTGGGGGCAGGGTTTCCAACAGGGGGCGGGGGGTCACAGGTCACAAGCCTCATGGCCTCATAGGCTTCCTTGACCAGCTCGGCATTAAGACGGCGGAGGGAAACGGATCAAAGAAATCCCGTGTTTGGCGTAGAGCTGTGGATTTCACAGAGAGGAGCGTCTGAAGCCACGTTTTAGACGGACTGCCTCGGCGTGGGAAGGATTTATGGGACCCAAACCCCCCACTGAGAGAGGAGCGACTTAAGAAAGATGCTCTCCCAGTTTTATGCATGACAAGACTTTTTGTTTGTGGCAGAGGGAGAGGAGGACAACATGGCTCCATTCAGGACCAGGGTAGGTTTGCTGTCTCCCAGTCAGTCCGGCTGCTTTCACGCGCTCACAAAAACACTTTGGTCGCGTTTTAAGACGTAAAAAATAAAATGCAGCTAAACGCTCTCGTGCTGCGTTTGACTGGTTAGTAAAACGCATTTCGCTCTTTTGTTCGTGTTTTATCGTTCAAGTCCAATATTTACGTTCACGCGGTTTAAGCAGCTGGTAGAGTTTGTATAAATTAGCCTCCATTTTTTTTTTTTAATTGAGGCTGGCGGTGTGCGCATGCGCATTGCAGCCCCACAGAGGCCTCGTGCGGGCGCCCCTTTTAAAAGCTGGGCTAAAAAAAAATAAAAAATAAAAAACCCCGACGCCGAGCGTCTAGAAACGCAGCTCGGTCGAGACGACGAACCGCACAAGAGTGAGACTGAAGCGTTCCGAGTTGGTACCGTCTCCCTTTTTGAACGAAGCCCACCGACTTTAAATTCCGGCCCGGTTCGAGGCCTCCGCCGGGTCCAACAGACCGGACAACATGGACCCGCTGCTGCTTCACTGTCAAAACGTCGAAGCGTCGTCTCCACTTCCCCCAGGTTGTTGGTCAAATCCCCGCCTGGTGGGGAAAACGCCTGGACTCAGTGTAGCATTAAAAAGTTCACGTTTTGGCAAACTTGAGCTTGAAAACACGATGGAGAACCAACTGGTGTCATTACATGGAGATGTAGTAACAATTGCACATTGTAGCAGTTCAGTTTTTTTTTTTTTTTTGCATGCAATAATTGGAGACATTGCAGAAACACGCTGCAGGCAGAAGTCATATTTTTCCAAGCCATTTCTCTTTATGTTCTTCTTTTTTGCTAGCTTGATGTTTCCCAGTTATCAACATCGAATTGAAGAAAAGGTGTTTATTCTCTTTCTCCTATTTTCTCCCCCTTTAAAAAGTTAGAAATTACAGATGACATTTCCTATTCTACATGTTTATCAAAAACTCTTTTCTTTTCAAAAGGTTTTAACATTTGCAGCTCCATGCAAGTTCCTTTTAGCCAGACAGAGGGCAAGAATGGCCCTTTGAAACATAAAGGTCACCGACCCCTGGTGTACATCGACGCCTGGCATTAAGGCCTCAGAGGACATTGTCAATCAAACGGCATCGTGAAGGAGCGCGGCAGACGAGTCAACCAAAAAGGTCGCGATTGGGTCATAAAGGTCGTCCTGTAGTACTGACTCGATAGAAGTGCATGCCACACTTTTCAGATTTTAATTTGGGAAACATCTTTTAAAAATTCTAATTTCACGTTCACCTCAGAAATATGCATTTTTCTGTGTCGGTCTGTTAAATAATGTGACAAAATCTTCTGGCTTAACGCTCTCCAGGCTAGTCCTTGAAGTGCGATTTTTACATTACACATGATTTCATGTCTGACGCCTCGTTGCTCGGACTTTGGGCGCAGCACTAAGTTGCATATTTCTAATCATTTGTCACTGACATTTGCCTTTGTGTTTCAGGTGTTCCTGGTTTGGGTGTCAACCTCCCTCTTCCTGTCAGAGCCCTCTAGTTAAGGTGCATCTAGTGTAGTTAGTGAGTTATTTCAGAATCTACTGCCCTAGTTGCTCCTTCTGGCTGGAGGGCTTGTTCAATTGCAGGATCTTCTTGCAATGAAGTGTGTGTATTGTGTTTTGGTTTTTATTGCTAATGAAGTGAGGATACATTCAGTGGAAGGAAGACTGGTGTTGGGAACGTCTTACGAAGCAAAATCTGAAAAGTGCGGCATGCATTTTTACTCCGCCTCTCCGAGTCAGCGAGTTATTTTTTTTTTATCATCTCTGACCAGCATCATTAACGGGATTTCCATTGATCATATAGTTGCACTTTTCATAAATTTATCAATAAACTTTTTATTTTTTTTAAAAGCAGTGTTATTAGCTGTCGTCACGTTTCCAGCAAGATGTTCTTTGCACAGACGTTCCTGCCTCAGATTGTTTAAGCTGGCCGTCCTGTCGACTCTGCAGTTGAAAAGTGCTCTCAGTGCAGGTAGTAAAGCCAGCACTACTGCAGTCTGAGCACTTAAAGCACTGCCGGTCGCCTCCTCTCCACGCCGGCGTGAAGGGCTGGAAGTGAGCTGGGCCGACGGCGAGTCTTGTTGGTTTGCTCTCAGCTTCTCTCCGTGTCCGCTGTGCAAATCCATGCAAAGCTCTCCGCGGCTCAGGCGCACAGAGGTGTTGCTCTCGTTCCCCGCCTGCTCTGGGCTTTGAGGAACACTTGGAACAGACGAGAAATGCCCGTCACTGCAGGTACCAGAGAGGAGCCCCTCACGGTGTTTTTGTTGTTGGGGGTATTTCAACATGTCTGGACAAGCTGCTGCTTTCTGGTGGAGGACGTCACAGATCCAGTGCCTAACATGGTGGAAGCCATTACATGTGGCGAAGCAGATGTATTAAGTTGCAGCACTCTGAGTGGAATGCGGGAATTTGAACTAATGTGATTTATTATTTTTTATTTTTTTCAGAGCAGATGAGCCGCTGTGTGGCGGACCGAACACTAGATGGCGCCATTTCAACTGTAATGGTAAAGGACTACAACAGAAGAATAGTTCATTCATTTGTTCTGGATCTACAGTAATATGTGTATTGTAACAGTATCTAAAAAAAAAAAAGTTTTTTTTTTCAATGTTATGTTAACACTAATATACAAATGTAATTTTGAAGGTTATAATATAAAGATGAGGTTGGTTGATGTAACTTTTAATTTGTTGGTTCCAGATTATTCTGTTACACTCAATCTGTTTGCATAATAAAATCACATAGCGGCTAATCCTGGAATGTTTTTCGTTTTTTTGAGACAGTGGTGCCCCCAAGGGAGGGGCAAAGGGGCCTTGGCCCCCTCCTCAAAAATGTTGGCCACAAAAAAAGGAATCAATTAGGACATAAATATAAAACTCAATAAATGAGATTTTATAAAATGAAACTTATAAAATCTTTTTTATAAATAAAAAAGTATTTATTTTATAAATAAAAAAGATCTTTTATAAATAAAAAATATTTTTTATTTTATTTTTTTACTTTCCTGGCCAATTTAAATGGTTCAAACAAACGAGCCTCATCAAATGCTAATCTATTGAACACGTGAACATGGCTGAAGAAAAAAAACCCTTGAAGATGTTGTTATGTTGGAGTTGCACCTTCGAGACGCAACTCCTCCTCAAAGCCGCAGTTTCGAGCTTCCACCTCACAAAGCCCCCTTCTCTTGTGACTCAGCTCCTTCAGACTAGCCAGCAGCAATTAGCAAGCACCTGGTGGACCTGCACACCAGCTGCACTCATTCTAGGAGCTGCTTCTCAGAGCAACGCTGGTGAAAAGGGTTAACAAAGGAGCCATGTTGTGTCGACTTCCTGAAGGCCGAGCTTTTAAAGAGAGGTATACGCTCAATTTCAAGCTGTTGAATTACAAACTTCCTTTAAGTCATATTTTATATACGTACCATTTTTTATATAATTGAAGGCAACATGTTATGTGATTGTGCTATAAAAAGAATATTTTTTCCTTCTGATTTTAATATGAAGATTATTGCTTTGGCACTGCAAGAACTTTGCACTTCACTCCCTTTTGTTTTAGCCATTTTGAACGCAGCTGTTTGTGACTGAGCCATAAAAGTTGAGCTTCTCTTTCACCTGCGCCGCCATCCATCCGAATGGACGGCAGCAGCCATTCCTTCCTCGCGCGCCCACCCACGCGCGGCCGGTGGGCGCATCAGCCCACATCATCACCCACTATCACTATCACACCAGAGTGGAGCTTTGCTTCAGGTCGGGGCGCGCGCGGCGCGGGAGCGCGCACACATACCGTGGGCTGGTCCTTTTGCGCACACAGCTGTGATTTCCTCTCTCTCTCGCTCGCTCTTTTTTTTTTTTTTTTTTTTTTTTTGGAGGTAAGAGGGACTCGGGTTGAGTTGCAGTCCTCGACGTGGTCTGGAGAAGGAGCGTCAGTGGAGCAGCTTCCAATAACAATAGTAATAATAATAATGATATAACAGGAGGCTGAGTGAGGAGGGAAACATCAGGATGCTGATCCAAGCAGAGTCAGCGGGAGCTGCAGCTTCTCTCCATCAGCGCCAACCCGGCTTGTTCCGTCTGTAACTTTTCAAAGAGCGGAAGTTCACCTGGGCTAGTTTTTTTTTTTTCCCTCCCGTTACGTCCGGTTCCGCTCCGGTTCTCCCCGCCATGGTGGCCGCATCGGTCCACGGAGCGCTCCTCCTGTGCGCCCTCCTCCTCCAGCTGTTCCCGCTTCCCGGCGGACAGGCGCCAAACTGCCTGGAGGTGCGCGCGGCGTTCCACGCTCTGCACCCGGGCTCCAAGTGGGTCCCTGAGAGCCCGGTGTCAGGTAACTTCCACATCTAGGTTTTGTGTTGCTTTTATTATTATTATTATTTTAACTTCCAGAATGCACTTCAGTTATTTCCTCTCTGCTCCTTCTTCCTTCATTCTCCTCGGCTGAATCTCCTCCAATATTCTCTAGGGGAAAAAAAAAATCTATCGCCCACGTTGAGCATCTTGTTAAAACCGCACCGAATCGGTACCGTCTGCAAAGCTTATAGAGAATCAATGTGTTCTGATATTGATCCAAACACGAGAGCGAGAGGCGATTCTTTACAGCCTGAAATATGGAAGCAGATTTCAACATCTGCCTGCAGCTGTTGGAAACCCTTAAGTTTAATGTTCTCTGCTGTTGGGAGTGGAGACACTGAGAAAAACAAAAAACAAATACTGTCTGGAAAAAGTATTCATTTTCCCGTGAACTTTCACATCTCACTACAAACTTCAGTGGTTTTGTTGCGATTTGATGAGGCTCTCGGCCGCAGTTTGGTAAAAGGAATGGGTTTTCACCATCATAAATCTGAAAGGTGTGGTGTGCTTTTGTATTCAGCCCCTGTGTATTGAAGACCGTTGAACGGCACTTTGTGACGATTTCACAAAGTATATGTCTCTGCAACCGAAGCGTCGGTTTTCGAGTCCCCGGCGCAGATCGACGGGGTTTCAGTGTGGATGAGGAGAATCTTTTTCCTGGCGGGTGAACTTCCACCCAGACCTCAACTCTCCTGCAGCCTTGTAGCAGGTCCGGCTTTTGTTCAGCTCCTTTTATCTCCCGATCTGTAAAAGCGAAATTTGAGAAGTCACAGTCCTGAGCTGCGGACTTCATGAAACGCTGCTTGTTCTCCAACAAACAGATTAAATTACACTGAGATTAAATTACAAGCATAGTTTGTATGATGTAGCATTAGGTCCATGTTAAAAAGAAATAAATATGAGAATAAAGTCGCAAAGGAGTAAAGTTGTATTATTATTAAAATAAAGTTATAATTTTACAAGAAGCAAAGTTGTATGAATAAAGTCATAACAGAGATTTTTTACAATTCTTTTAATATGGCCCTAATACTCCTCCGTCATGCTGTTTGCTTTTTAGTAACGCTGAATTTTATTTAGGGGTATCAGAGTAAAAGAGGTGGTAAATACAAATCCACCCCCCCTGCAAACTTTTCTTTGTCTTTTTAATTGATCTCTACATCTTTGTGTTGGTTCGTCACATACAATCCGTCACGTTTGTCATCGGAACGTGATCAAAAGCGATCAATTTAGCGCCGATCAGCAGAAACCAGCGTGTCGGAGCCTGTTGCTTACGCCCCGATTCAGCATTTAAATGCAGAAGCCGCTCGTGCGGCTGAGCAGCAGCCGGCCGGAAATGTTAATTGGGTGTTTTAGTGTCATGTCAGCGCGGGGAGGTTCCCTGGGTGACGCAAACCCTCCGCCGTCTCCAGAGAGCGAGACAAACCGGGTGACACTGTGCGAATTAAACAGCAAGGGGAAGGAACGCGAGATGCACTTTGAAGCCCGTTCTGTCATGCTACCCCTTCCCCCCATTGCAAAGGTAAACGGAGGCTCAGGCCAGCTGCTGAGCCCTCCTTTTTCCTCCACACATCCATCTTTAATCACACACCTTCCGCCAGGGCCATCCAGCGTTTTATCTGGCAGCCAGAGGGCGAAACATCGCAGCGGGCTGAGAGAAATATTTAGCCTCCCCGAAGCCGAGGCAGAGTAGGTCAGGCAACCTTCAGTCGGAGAGCCGGCGCTCATGTGGAATGAGTTCACAAGCCACTAGCAGGACTCTTTCTACTGCAGCTGGAAAAGGGTGCAGGCTGGTTTATTAGAGGGGATTCGGGCAAAGAGCAACAACTTCAACAAATCAACCGCAAAGTTCGTTCGAATCAGGCAGTGTCGGTAAAAGAACGCCTGGACGTCAACGTCAACACAGGGAAATAGGTCAGCAACGCCTAACGTGCCTGATTGGACAAAATTGTCTTAACTGTCAAACGTCAAACAACAAGGCAGATTTGTTTTTTTTTTATCCTGATCCACCGTGGTTGTCAGCTCAGTTCATAATATCATGGACGTTTCATAAACAGAATTCGCTGATTAATTATTGCAGTGGGTCCGGATCGTTTTACGCTTTGATTTGGAAAGGATGTTTTTCTCTATTTGTGTTTGCAGCTTTTTGTGCATATTTTGTTTTTTCTCTGTCCTTTTGGTCACTCCGTGTCGTATTTTAGAGAATTTCCGTCACAGTTAAGTTGCATTTCACATTTATGAGCCTTTGATTTAAAAACCAGTATTTTACACAACAACCTCCAATTTTATTGTTTACAAAAGATTCAAGCCGTATCAGGAAAACATAAAGCTGCAATTCTGATGCTGAATATTGCAGGATATCAATTGTAATTACCACACATTTCGCTCACTGTTACCTTCCTTAACCAGGCTCATGCCGTTGTAGGAGTTCAGGAAGGGAATGACTTGATATCAGAAGTCAGAGAAATTCTTACATTTAGAGTAGCAATGCTCCAATATGAATAACAATATTCAATATTAATATCACTGCTACAGCCGGTATCCGGTGAAGCGGCGACATGCTACTGAAGATCCAACTTTTTCTTTCTTTTTTAGATTCATTTTAATGGTGCAGTGTTATGTATTTTCCAGGGACATAGTGCCATTTTAGTGCACAGTCAGTTAACTTTGTTGCCTTCAGTTGTTTAAAAAATGTCATACGTGTCAAATTTAGCTTGAAATAAATTAATTTAATGCCTTTAAATTGGGCTTCTGTCTCTTTTCTGCTCTTTCTGAAACTCTGCCTTTAGGAACCCATCACAACATGGCTATTTACCCTAGAAATGCTGGTTTTTACCAGCATTTCACTGAGAAGTAGCTCCTATGATGAGCTCAGCAGTTCCATCAGGTGTTTACTAATTGCTGCTAGCTAGTTTGAAGGAACTGAGTGGGACTGCTATGAGAAGCATATGCTTGGAAACTGCACCTTGAAGGAGAAGCTGCACCTTAAAGGCGGAGCTAGCTCTGTCCGGGTATTTTGCACACCTGAATGGTTGCCGTGCAGATTAAGAGTTTCTCAAACATACATGAATGAATCAAAGCAACACTCCAGGTGTATTTTGATGAAGGAATAACATTATAACATGACTTAAAGCTCAAAATAGTTTATTTTACAAAACACCACTCCTTTAGGGCGGGTTACTAAAGTAATAAAATGTCGAAAACCTCCGCTGTCTAAAAGACACCAGTGGACACGACTCTGAGCTGCAGCTGCAGCTCTTGATGCAATTTAACTGCATCTTCACTTTTTCCTTTTATGAAGGCAAGCTGCTGTTTACTGCATCACTGTTTTGTTTTTGCTCAAAAAGAAAAAAAAATAGAAGAAGAACTCTTTCACATTCGGGCTTCCAGCTTTCAAATTGTTGCTTCATCAAATGACTAAACTAGAACAGAGAACAAAGCTCCAAAAATACTCCACCCCCTCTCCCCCCCTCAACTCCAAAGAAACAATGGCAATCCCCAGTAGGTAATGATATTCGCATTCCTTTGGTCGGCTCTAAATTGCTCTGTCTTTGTTTCACTTATTGTCTCCACAAAGTGACACTGACTTGTTTGCTCCCACAGAGGCAGCTACAGATTCCCGCGTGCTTTCTCCCCTCTGCACTGGGAGCTGCTGTATAATTTATGCTCATAATGAACGGCTTTTAGCATATTCTATATCTTAATACCACTTGTTTTTCTTCCTCCGCTCTCTGTCATTAAACTTGCATGGCCATGGCTTTCTAATTGGCGCTGGAAAACTTAGACACGTACTGTATTTGTGGATGCCCCCGCTCCCCTGACTCGGAGTCCCCGAGCTTGTTAAAAGATGAGAGGAGACGGACTCGTCTTGTCTGTGTGCGTGTAGCCTGGACTTTTTAAGCTCCTTTTCTCCGCATCAGCCACAGAGGGAAGCGGCGAGGGATGATCTGACGGAGGCTGTGTTTTAAATCACAATATAGTGAGTGGCCTGCATTGATGTGTCTTGATTTTAGTTTTCATATTCGTGTCACGACCACAAACTTCAATGTATTTTAGGGGGTTTTTAAGTGGTAAAGTGGCACAAAGTGTGTCCTTTGATGCAGAGGGAAGAGGATATATGGTTTTCAACTATTTTCTTTGAAAATAAAAGTATGTATGCAGCCTTATTGAGTTAGTTTTTTTTTTTTTTCAATAACCAACTTTCGCTGAAGTCAGAGCTGTAAACTTTTTGGGGTAATTCTCTACCAGCTTTCTGGAATTATAGACTAACATTCTTACTCTTCTATTCTCATCTAGGCTTTGAATCAGGGTTGTAATAGTTTTGGGCTTCTTGTGATAGTTTAGTTTTATTTTGATGTGGCATTTTATTCATCTCATGCAGCTAGTTTTAGAGTTTAGTGTATTGGCTAATTTTTGTTTACTATAACAACCTTGCTTTGACTAGACCATTTATACATCTGAATGTGTTATTATCTAAACCATTTGATTGAAGCTTGGACTTTACGGTAAGGGTTGTGGTTTTGCTGGCAGGTGAACCTCAGACTCCATCAAGTTTGTTTAGTACGAGACATGTTGCATTCAGGTTTATGAGTGAACCTCAGTTGCATGGATGCTGTAGGAAGGAACTGTAAGCAGAAATTGGAGTAAAAGTTTCAGAACTACATTCATCACAAAAGTAATGAAGACTCAAATAATCTCAATTGATTACAGATTTCTTGGCTTTTATGTGACAAAGAATTAATACTCTCTCATATTTTGTCTCATTACATTTAATAATTTCTATTATTATGATATAACCAAGACAAAGTAGTGCATAATTGTAAAGTGGAAGAAAAATTTGACTTTTTTATTCTTTTACACATAAAAAATGTTTTTAAAATTAGCCCATTAGATGAATTCCAAATTCTGTTATAATGAATTCAATATTCAGACAATTCAGTTATTGTCATCATAAAATACTGTTGTGTGTTTTGATTGATTGATAATGTATTTCAGACAGACATTTCACCAACATTATATTTCAACATTATATTTCAGTATATTCTGACACAATGCAGATACATTCAAGGGATTTTCATACTTTTGCAAGGTGCCTGTATATTGGCAGCTGCTCTGCATGGGAAACAGTCCAACACGGACAACTTGCAGAGTATTGATGGAATGTATGTAATGACTCGAAGGTGTCGCCTCAAGGTTGTATGATGGGGGAATTTACATGTAAATTGCTCCTGGCCTGGATCTTTGTCCTTCTTTAGTTTGTTTAACAGAATTGTCCATCACAGTCTCAAGCGCACACATGCACACACATTCACCCACACACACATGCACACACATTCACCCACACACACACACGCACGCACGCACGCACGCACGCACGCACGCACGCACACACACACACACACACACACACACGCAGACACACACACAGGTAGAATGCAAAGTCACAGGGACTTTGCATTGACTTCTATTAATTTTGAATTCTTTTCTTTAACCTAAGCCTGACTGTTTTCCTATATCTAAACATCACAGGGGCATGGCTAAACCTAATCTACACTCAAATCATATCTTATCTTATAACTCATAACCCAAAAGCAACCCTTCTTGTTGTGGGGCTTGGGCTTTGGGCTCATTCTTTAACCTTAAAAAGTATCTCATTAGATAGTTAATGTAATCAAGTTCAACAGACTAATAGCAAAATAACTTAATTGGTTAGATTTTGTAAAGCTCCTGTCAGATATCTCTCCCAATTTTTGTTGTAAGAATAATAGCACACAAATTTCACAAGTAAGTCAAGAAACTGCCCTTTTGTAGAATAATAACTTTTGTAAAGGTGTTCTAATTTGCACTGCAGTGAGGATCAGGAGGCTTTTGTGGAGAGAAAAATATTCTTCTTTCCCCCATTGGACATCATCCTTTAGAGTTTCTGGTGGCTGTTCTTCAGTCTAACATAACAGACTTAGTTTTAATAAGCTTTTTTAGCTGGAACAATATGTCAGCTAAAATAGGTGCAGCTTCATCATTTATTACTAAATGGCAACCTGACTCAGCAAATATGGTCAAAAACGGTCATCTTAGGATCTCTGCTAAGACAAGAGTTTACAGAAATGGTATCGGTAAGCTAATGCTGGCTGGTTTCATCTCTGTGATGAGAGGAAACTAGTTGACCATTTGGATCAGAACATGTTGGTGTTGGACAAAACTTATGATCAGAGCTGTTTTCCCATGTCATAAATGAGCCACTTTGCGAGTCTTGGGTACTAATAAATAAATTTATGCTGCATTCAGGTCTTTATCAGAGGGACAGCTACGCAACCACACCAGACAAGACCTCCTCTGAATTACTGCTTTTTCACTGTGTATGCCAATGAAAGCCTTACCTTTGTCCTAAAGTAAAAAAAGAAAAAAAAAGATGTTCTATTGCATCAGGTTTGAACTTTGGTCCATAAGTCCAATCAGTCCCGAGGCGGTTGGATGTTACACCACTAAAGGTCCTGAGGAAGCAACAAAAACCAGTATTCATACTCACACCTGCACACACAAAAATGCGTAACCAATAACGCTGATAGAAAGCTGCTTCCAGTGCCCAGTAGCTGTTAAACTCAAGGTGGGAGAAGTGAAAACAAGTTCAGCACCAAACTGCACAGCTGAAAGAGAGAAAAAAAAGTTTTGAAAAAAGACAACGAACAGTAGCGGGAGGAGAACCAAAGCTGAGCCTTGAGCGAAAGGAGAGACGGAGGAAGCTTATTCCCAACTGATCTGTCAGTCACAAGAAAGGCTTTATATTTAGACGGTGTGATTTTATTATTTGCGAAACTCCATCGGGAACCCTGTCCCTTTCCCCCTCACTGCTGTGGAACTTGTGTAATGAAACACATTTATCATCTGCAGCATGACAAAACACGCAGATGAATCTGTCTGTTTTGCTGGAAATAATTGCCAAATCCCCGTCTCCTTTCTGCTGCGACCAGGCTCACCTCACGTAAAAGTTTAATAATTCTACCCCGCAGTCTGAAATGAACTTGATCTTATCTGTCAGGAGTCTTTTGTTGGTATTGATTTGAGATATTAAGCCCGTCAGTTTGCATACAAAAGGTGCCGTTTGACAGCTTTATTGCCTCTTTTGCTCATTAGGCGGCACCTCCTAAACCTCGATGGCTGCCAGCACTTTACAGAAGCTGTCCTCTGTTTGATTCCACACTTATTAATCATCCAGTCTCCAGGTAGATGAACTTTCTTCATGTCTGCATTGTTTCTATTTTTTGAAGATCTCAAGGAGTCACACCAACAGAATCCCCTTTGTCGTTAAGATAAACCCTCCAACTTGACAAAAGATGCCTCCCTATCTTTTGACACGCAAGCTATCAGACATTTTCGGATGCATTCACATTCTGAGACCCCCCACCCATACACCCACCATCCCACTTCCAAATTAATCTTTCTGCCTCTGTCTCTTTATCCTGCACATCCCGCATGGAAGCTGGCAGACTCCCCTGACGTTTGTTTACCGAACCATCAATCAGACCCCTTGTCACTGATGCCTCTCAAGAGCCAGCCACGCAAACAACTCGTCAACGCAGCTTGGCACATTATTACTGCGGCCTCCACTGATCTGCAGGCAGCTGCATGGCATGAAGGGGGAGGCACTGAAGGGAAGAATTTTCACTGGAACTCCTTTTTGTTTTCCAAACTGGGTGCTTGAGTCCTACTTACATGTCTTTGCAGGTACAGGTGAAAGACGGAAACTTGCTGCCTGCATTTTGAAAAGGCATCTTTAACGTGGTGTCACAGAAGTGATTGCTGTAAAACAATCACTCCAAAACCCAGGACTCTGAAAAAAAAAAAAAAAAAAAAAAAAAAAAAAAAAAAAAAAAAAACTGGACCACAATAACAGCAACACTGACATCAGCACTGCCTAAGTAGTGTGTCAACGAAAGCTGAAGTGAAGTCCAATTTGGAACAGAATAGTAACAGGAAAAAAGGAGAAATGATTTACATTAGATCCGAGTACCTGATCATTTCTACTGCTGGCTCATGTCCGTGCACAAACATGTTAATTACTCTTCTGTGAAAGAGTTGATTATTGAGTTTCGTACAGCTACGTCAGTCCAATGAAGACCTCCTCTTACGCTTTACTAATACATCTGTTTTGTTCATAAAAGCTCCAGGAGTCTAATTACTTTCCTGTGTGAATAGTCTTCACATTCAGATGGACCAGTGTTGTTTCATTGCTTGGCTATTTTCTATGTCAAACATACTGAAGTCTTCTCTTCCTGACGCTTGTGCCTAAAATGGCTTTTTCTTGATCAAGTACAGCCTTGAGTGGTGAAAAGGTTTTCTGTCAACCAAACCGACCTCTTAGGGGAGCTGGAAAACATTTCTGTGTTGCATGACTGCGCATCAAAATGAATCATTTTCGAACCACAATTTATTTTTGATTTCAGCTGTGCCGGATAACAGGCCCTGTACACAGAAATAATACACTAATTAAGGGAGCAGAATGTGCAGAAAATTACATTTTCTACATTTAGCTTGCAGAGGATGATGCCGAGTCTTTTTTGTTGTTGTGTGTATTTGAGCTGTAAGAGGCTTCTGTCTTGGAATAAAAACTGAAACGAAGAGTGGCTCTGCAGCTCCTTCCCTCATCTCATCCTGTCTCTGCTGGTTCACTGCCAGGTGCAGATCTGCAGGTTTGCCAACCCAAAGGCCCGACCTGCTGTTCCAAGAAGATGGAGGAGCGGTATCAGGTAGCCGCACGCAGCAACATGGAGTCAGGGCTGCAGATTGTCAGCGCTCATCTCAAACGTCTCATCATCCAGAACGCTGCTATCTTCCAAGGTAAGCAGAAGATGCCACTGCGGCTGTGACTGCCTGAAACGGACGTTGCACGAGTTCAAATCTGTGCAGGGTTGACTTTTCTCGCCGCGCTGCCTTTCTGGCATCGGGGGACTCGCTTCTCTGGGGAGTCACATATCAAAGTAGAAGCACAATCAGAAAGAGGTTAGACATTCAGCGGCTGTTCAACTAAATGTTAGAATGGCAGACACATGCGGCTTGAGTGACTTTAGATGTAGTTCTGTCGGGCCCCCCAGACGTGTTTCTCCTGAAAGTGACAGCCTCCTGGGACTTGGCACGCTGCAGAGTGTTTTTCACAGAGAGAGAGGGAGAGAAAGAGCCCAGGAACTGTTGGATCAGAGCGGCCACCAGATACTGGTGTCTGTGGTTAAAGCTAACAGATGTATGCGAAATGACAACTGACTGATGTGAAAAAATGTGCTACTTCAGAGATGCTGGAGTTGGAGCTCTGCAGGCTGAGAACAAAACCGCTGAAGGCAAAGGAGGCAGTGACTGCTGTAAGAGGGAACAATGAGGAGACAGGAGGCTGGAAGCAGCACATTGTGACTCTGATATCTGGCTTAACAGTTAATGTATAAGTATACTGAAAATACAACGAAGCTTAAATATACACCTCTGGAAAGAGCTCATAGTTAATCCACCCACTGTTGATTCCTGAACTCTTCCTGAAAATGAATATACTGGTTTTCCTTTCATTATTTGAGATTTGAAAGCTCTGCATCTTTTTCCTTATTTTGATCATTTCTCATTTCCTGCAAATACATATTTTTGCTTGGAATTTCGGAGACATGTTGTCAGTAGTTCATAGAATTGAAAGAGCAATAAATAGTAAAATAGTAAAATCAGAGGAACTGATCATTTTAAGTGAGCTCTTTATTTTTTTTCCAGAGCTGTACCATTCCAGAATAACATTTTTGATCGGGTGTCACAACAATGAGTCCGATTTATGAGGGCAGATCTATTGAGGCAAAATATATGTTTTGTTCTCTAAGCAACGTCATGTTGTTTTATTTATATTTAAAATTCCTAATTGCATTTCCTGATCCATTTGAAATGTTTGTTGCAGTTATTTTTTTCCATATGTTTGTCAGATTCGGTTTCTTCAGTGTCCTCCTTATTGCACCTACTGCCTCTAATAATAAACTATGTGTCATGTCGCGGTGTGTTGCACGCAGTAGACGTAGATCTAAATACATGTTTTAATGAAGAAGACTAACCAACAAAAATTCCTAAATCCAAGGGGTACAAGAAAATGCAGAAAAACAAAACAAAGTGAAAACACGAGGCAACAGCAGGTAATCCAGGAAAGGAAGCATGGAAGTGACACAAGGTGACGAGGCGGACTGGCAACTGGTGACTGGGACAGGAGGGCTTAAGTACTGGGAGGTAATAAATGGAGAAATGTTGTAGCTTGATGTGAAGAATGATTGCAGGGGTGAGTAATAGGCACATGAGGGGTGGGGAGAAGGTGATACAGGGAAACTAAGGAGATCTGCTGGGAACACAAAAGGGAGGAAATGGGGAAAATACTACAAATACCCAAAGACACTAAGAGTAAGGAAAACCTGATGGACTAAGAGAGAAAGCTATAAAGGAAAATATAAACGAACCTAAATAAAAACTAGGCTGATCTCAACAATGAGAACTAAGGAACATAGAGCTAGAGAAACTAGAATAGCTAAACAAAGAAATAAACTAACTAGAATTGCTAAAGAAAGACTAACTGAATCTAAAGAGACAAATGACAAATTAGTAACACTACAGGATTAAAGAAATAATCTAACTTACGATTACTAAAGGAAGATATACTTAGACTTGGATATGGAAGAATAACTGAACCTAAGGTGATGAAATAGGAAATAAACATTACTAAAAACACTACAGGGAGGCTGAAAGAAGAAATAACTAGAAGGACAAAATAGAATTGAACTGTAGTCATGAAAGAAGGCTTGACATAAACTCAGACAAACCAGGACAGGACTAAAGAATAACCTAGAAACACTATAAAGGACTGAAAAGTAAGGAGAGCAATAAGACAATTCTTATTTACTAAATACCTCAAGTAATAATATCAAAAGGATCCTGAATGGCAACACTAAAGTGAACTAAAACACAAGATTAACTAAAACGAGAAGCAAAACCAACCCAAAAACCCAGAGTCCTGACACCATGGCTCCTATAACAGGAACAGTAATGTAATGTAATCACACACTGTGTACTGTGTTAGTTTTACTTCAGCCGTGCCTGGTTATAATCTTGATGTTTATCAGAATGACTTTTATTCTGTTCTACTTGCATTTGATGGACTGCAGACAAAGATGAGCTGAACCTCAATCAGATTACCTGGACGCATCAGAGAGATGGAATATAATCTCAGATCCAGAGCTGCTGATGAACAACAGCAACGCTGGTGAACTGGTAATGTTGGGTTGGAAGTCCAGAATGAAGCTAATGCCTCCCTTCAAGGGCTAAAGATTTTCATTTATTTTGTGTTCGGTAAATTAGGATTTATTTTTTTGGGCACTCACAAGTTCAGATCAAATGCATTTATTTTCCATTAACATTTTAAATGCTTTATTGTAAATGAGAAATACACTCCAGTTGATTAGTCATGGTTTGTAGCACTTAAATTATGTTTGTTCTGTTGCTTTTGTGTTAGTCACATATTTCTTTGGATAATATCCTAAACAAAATAACAACAAAAACAAACTGACAGGTTGTTAATATATCTCAGGTTTGAGATTTTGATCATCTTGTTTCTGTCTGTTTTCACATATTTACCGTCCAGACACTTGTTAGTAATAATTGCACCAGAGACTGACCATTTCCTGTAGACTCATTGCATGATTGTATCTTAAAATGACAGGTGACAAAGATTCTCAGTGTTAGCTAGCAGTTAGCTTTATTAGCTAGCTAGCAACATGTTGCCTCATTTGTTTCTTGCAGCATAATTCAGCCAGGTCCTTGTAACTCACCGTCATCATCCCTGAAATAATGATTATCACATAAATTGTAAGCTTCAAACCGTAGCAATTAGCATTCTTGTATTATAAGATATTGTTATAAGTTATTTTAAACTTTGAAGTGGTTGCTTGCTAATTTTCAAAAAGCAGAAATGATTCGGTGTGTCGCCCCTGAGGCCTTAGAAGCTCTTTGTAAAATTGAGGTTTTGGGATTTTTGCTCCGGTTGTTGAAGGTTAGCTCATATGTAGCCTTCTGGGACTAGCTAACATCATATTTCGTGGCTTGGTTAGCGCATGTTTTTTTCCTCTGACTCCTCTTGTTTACATGCTTTTAATTCCATTTCTCTGTGTTTACTGTATCATAAAAGTTCTTATTACTCCCCAGTTTCAAACTTGCCTCAGCTGTGGAGCTCCGGCGCCGTAAGACGTAAGATTTACGCAGCGTTTCCCTGCCGTCATGCTAGCAACTCTTGTCATCAGATTTCACTTTTGCATTCGGTATTGAGCTTTTGATGCCACTTGACACAGACCCTTTTAATCTGCCAAAGCAGCGCTGTTTATTGTCTCGGGGATTTCCTCTGGAAGCGGGATGTGCTCGCTCGCAGGGCCAACCTCTTCAACCGTGCCCACTTGTGGGCTGTGAAAAGCAGCACCATCCTGACACGCCAATTAAAACTTGAGGTTTAATGGGGACCGTGGGGTTTGCTCGACTTGGTTGTTACGCCCTAACTATGTTACAGACTGCCGCTGTGGTTTGGCTTCACTTTCCAAGAAGGGGCTCAATACTAATTGCTTTAGCATAGCGTTTGATAGAACTCCCCAAACAGCCTCTGGACTGAAATCCTTTTAACATCCTGGTCTTATCTGTTTCCCTCTGCCTCATTTTCATCCTCGCTTTTCTTCTCCGTCTCTCGTTCCGTGACCCTGTCCTGTCTCTCCCAATCTGCTCAACTTCTCTTTCTCCCCCTGTCTGTCTCTTCCTCCTGCGTTTGCGGTGCTGTTGGGAATTGAGTGCATGCCTTGTTTGTAATCGTCTCTGCTGCTTTCCGTCTCTTTTCTTCATCGCTGACTCCTGCCGGAGATCAAAGGCCTTCCCCTCTGTACTCCTTTATCTCCCATCTCTGTATGCTCTCGCCATCCCTGCGTCCCCCCATCTCTCTCCCGCCGACTCCACCTGCTCCTCTTTCCCAAGCGCAACAACACACCCGAGGTTTTCACCCCTTTGAAGTCAACTTCTCCAAACAGCTGCAAAGTAATGGTTGTCTTTAAAGCATTTAGATGACTGGCAGCCTTAATGTCAGGCTTCTTCGTGATCAATATCTAGAAATACGGTAGGTATTATGTTGGGAATTTCTAATGACGCGTAGCCCCTTGTGGACATCTTAAGTGCCATTTGACCATCTAATGAGCGCGAGCTAATCTCTTAGTATCAGCAATACGCAACGTAATGGATGGACTTCAGCATCCTTTCTGACATGACAGATGAAAAGATTTCATTTTAATTCACATAAGTGAGGTCATCAAGCCGATTTCCCAAATGCATATTGCTTTTCCTGCACACTGTTGGTTCATATTGGCTCTTCTGGAGTCCATTTTCTCTGTTTTGCATCGACAAACTTCCCCCGATCCATTAACTTTTAGTTGCACATCAGACTAATTTTTAGTATTTTTTTTCTGAATAGTCGATAAAACTGAGATTACTTGAAGCTTAATAGCTGGAATAGCAGCTTTTAAATGATTCTGCAGTAACTTAATAGTCTGTCATGCAACTACAGACTATTACCACTTTAAATGAACTAATTAACACACTGTTTATTGTTGGTTGTAATTTTATTTTTATTGTCATAAGAATTTTGATTTACTTCCACTGTTTTTCTTTGTTTATTCCATGAATAAATATTTATTTATTTAAAAATTGGATCAAATGGCATCATTGCACTGCCAGAAATAATAAGTTAGTCGTTTGTTTTTTTTTTTTTTTTTTTAAGGGAAGTATTCATGTTTGTAAGGCTCTAACTG